ATTCTTCCTGATGCTGCGCTTGAAGAAACCCTTACAGCCCTCACAGCTCACTGCTCCATAATGACGGCCTAAACACACAATGACCAACATGACAAACTTACAAGTGTCCCTCTCCAATAACAGCTTGCAGGTCTAAACTTATTTAAAGGGATACTCCACTTTTTTTGGAAATAGGCTCATTCTACAACTCCCCCAGAGTTAAAAAGTTGAGTTTTAGCGTTTTCTAATCCATTCAGCCGATTTTTTTGATATTTAGAAGAATATCAGTAACCAGACAGTTTCTGGTCTCATTGACTTCCATAGTATATTTTTTCCTACTATGGAAGTCAATGGGACCAGAAACTGTCTGGTTACTGATATTCTTCTAAATATCAGAAAATCGCCTGAATGTATTTGAAAACGCTAAAACTCAACTGTTTAACTCTGGGGGAGTGCTAAAATGAGCCCATTTCCAAAAAAAGTGCAGTATCCCTTTAAAATGAAGCAAAAGCGTGTGTGTTGGTCATGTACCTGAGGCCTTGTCTCCACAAACTACACAATACTCCACTGGAGGCTTCGTAGAGCCCTGTTCTGAGCCCTCCGTCACAAACTGAAAAACAAAACACTCTAGCCTATAAATATGAACATTTACATTGTGTAAATAATTACAAAACGAAATGCCATACGCAAAATCACAACATAAATCGATATGAGAGAACTACATTTATAGCACGCTTAAAAAAAGTACCACGTTATAGTGATGCTATTACTATGGTACTTTTATGTATGGTATTAAATAAGTATTTATATGGTGTTTCTCCACGCTAATCTCTCTCAACATGCCATTGATTTCAATATTGTTTGCCATTAGCATGTTGCTAAGCTAACAGCACGACTCTTTAATAACACATGATAGCTCACACAAATGTTGGATAAAACAATCCATTTACATCAAAACTATCAAAAACTACGTTTTTATAAGCAAAAACGATCTTGCTCGGATTTTCACACTGCCGAAACGAGTAAAGCCCAAAGTAATAGTATACTGCAGTGTTTGCATAAAAAATGAATGCAAAAAATATTGAAATTTCGGTGAATATTCACATAGACACAGTTATTAAGTGAGCGTAAACAGTTCATGTATAACATGAAAACGCATTTATAACAGTATAATGAATCAATGTGTCCGGTCTTAAAGTGACAGCAGCCTAATATACGTAAATGCTGTCAAATTATGAGATAATATATAAAAAAAATATGACGTTTTTTTTCTCATGGTGAAAATCCTGAACAGCTAGTAACTTGCCACAGTGGCTGCTGAGTAAAAAGTTAATATCAAGCCCTTGATGCGGATGTCTCTTCACTGCTTGTAGTATTTTGTGTTTCTTTTTCAACTGTGAAACAGCTGTAGGCCAGTGTTGCCACCTTTTGGAACAACTAAAAAGGTACAAGAAATACGCTCACACTATACTGACGACGAAATGCACGGCGTACCCAGCATTTGTGTCCAACGTTTACCTGGATCTGTTGTCCTGTCAGCTCAGGTGATGCAAAAAGCAGTTGATTGACGGCTGACCCTTCGGCAGAGGTTAAGATGACCTTGGCTGGTGAGTTCTCTTGTTTGATGAACAGTTTTTCCTGGTTGGGGTAATCCAAGTTGGTTAGTATAAACTGCTGTTTGCCACCTCCAGCCTGATCAATGGCTGTGACTATCTGCACCTTCTGAGCCAACTGCTGCTCTGTCACAATCTGATACAACACATGACAACAAAGACCATCGAAATGACGTTTACAGCGATAAAGTTCAGTGAAAGCCTGTTCACACAAACATAAATGTTTGACATTGGCACTAAAACGTTCTTCCACTTCCATTTACTGTGGCTTAGCAAAAGCACACCCGAGTCATAAGACGTGTTGGCCATAAAGTGACGCTGCACAGACGTTCGAGTTACACTCTGCTTGGCCCCTATTAAATGAACTGGGCTAGTTAAGTGCTATGTCTCAACTCGTCTTAGTTAAGGGAATAACGTAGTTTAAAATGAAAAAATGGTGGAGTATTCCTTTAAGTCACTTCCGTGTTGGCTTCAGGACAGAGACCGGAGGGTTGCCATTTGGTCCGATCAAACGTTGTTGATTCAAATTCAAATGTTCATCGCATCAAATAATTGTTACATGAATATTTAGTGTCTAAATGTGGAGTGTAAGTCACCTGTAGGCCTCCGTCTGCAGACACCAGCTGAATTCTGGGACTTTCTCCATCCATGATAACGATTTGGCTTAGCAACGCCTCGTCAGCCACACGCCCACCTGAGAAAAATAACACACGACTCTGTGATTGATGAGATGCTTTCTTAACCCTCTGGGGTTGTTTGTTTCAGAGTCACACCCGGGGTGTTCGGGTCCAAATGGACCCAAAGGGCGGGATTCATTTAAAAAAAAAAAAATCATAATGTTTTTTTTTTTTTTTTACTCGTTTTTTTATATTTTTTTCTTTTTTGGTGTTTTGAGAACATTTAAAAAAAAAAATTATAATTAGTATTAATGCAATAATTATGACAAAATTTCCCCCCATTGAACATAATAGAAAAAATATAATTTTTTGTTTTTTTTTTAAAGCTGTTTTTCATTTTAGAGTCAAGCCTAGGCCTCATAAAAGCAATTTTTGAAATGAGATGCATGCCATCTGGTGGACAAACTGAGCTTTTTAAAAATGCAAAACATGTATAATCTGAATTTTTTGGTGTGTTTGTGTGTGTCTGTTTTGCACTCTTGATGTTTTATAGATTCACCCCTTCACTGTTGTGTGCTTTTTTTCAAGATCGTGGCTGATTTGTAGATTGTACGCACAAAAAAACTCAGTATTTTCACATTTTTGCCAATTTCCCATTCATTTTCCATGCGGGTCCATTTGGACCCGAACACCCCAAGTGTGACTATTTTTTTTTTTTTACAACCACTTAGACTATTCACATCCTGTCCCCAATTTTTTTGGGTGTTCAAATACCAAATACCAACAAAGTCACCAAATTTCGGACCATTCCGAGGAAGCTGTGATTTAAAAAAAAAAAAAAAAAATTTAAATTCTTGTTTAAATTCTTTGTTTAAAGTGTGCAGATATTCATAAATATTCTAAACGTCGTTCTTAGCAGTGTGAGCAGCGTCATGATATTCGCTAACTGTTTACCACAGCAAAAGTATTTCAAACTTATATTTATCCCTTTAAGTCAAGAACAAATAAATAACTATCGTGGCCTAAAAACACAATGTACAAGTTTTTAGAGAAAAACAATGTAAAAATAAATAAAACGATTATAATACAATAACAAAAAAATCATTATACAAATAAATAAAAATGTATTTAAACAGTCCAGTAATATATAGAGTATAAAAAAGACAGTTATACAATGTTATAGTATTTTAAATATTTAAAATGTATTTTTATACATATTTATTTAATTCATTTTTCATTTTATTCAGGATGGCGGTCCCTAGCACAAGGATGATCATATTTGGGGATCTATTGCATCTAAAAATGCCAGGATGTTTATTGAAAATAATAATACTAAAAGATTGCAGCATAAATGGTCTGGGGTGGCCTGAATACTTGAAGTTTGATATGTAAGTTAAGGGGATTGTTCAAATAATGATTCCAAAGAGGTCTGGCTCAATTCCTGTGATGTTTCAACCTGTTTATAATCAGTCAAATGATTCAAGATTTTACAGTTCTTGTCATTCCAACATCCTGACTAATGATTTTTCAATATTAATTTGATTCACTCTACAAATGCACAATTATTGTGTTCAGTGTTGTCGATCAGTTCAGATTGATGAAGACACGCTGAAATCTCACATGCTTCTGATTAGCAGTAGCTACATTAGCACAATAGCCAGCATCGCTGTTTTAGTGTTATTCGGAGAATCGAAAGACTTAATAATGCATAAATGCGATCTCGACAGTGAATGACAGCTGGGGGTCAGTAACTCCTGTGGAATGTGTGTGTGTTGATCCGGGAAGATAAAGTTAGATCTGTTCCTGTAGGTTAAAGGTCATGATTGAAGGGTTAAAGCTCCTCACACACATACACAGAGGGATCTTCACTGCAGCAGCTCCTCACACGCGGATTACAGGACAAATCTAGTACCTTCAAAACTTTTGACCATCAAATGAGCTCTTGATAGGTCCGAATAATGCATTTACGCTATTTTTATCGGTATTTGTTGTGTTTATCAGAGCGCTGATATCAGATTTACACATTGATAGCGTTAGCTTGCTAAATAACGTCATATCGGCTTCAAATTTGCTATGATGCCCATTAGACGGCTGGCTATATATCTTTATTTTTCTTAAATATCCAAACCTCGTATAGTTAGTTCAATCGCAGACATGTAAGGATCGATTTGATTCCCAATGTTTCCTGTTGTGGTAGCGGCTACTACGCTAACGCGTGTTAGCAGGCCGGCTAACAACAGTGCTAACATTCTCCCGCATTATTAATCCTGAACAATTCCTTCAAGCACAATAGGTTTTAATAATGTAAAAAGGCGTTAATCTTACCATGAAACCGTGAATAATTATCCAAATACTGGTGTCTTTTGATAAATTATCGTAAACTGACGGCTCACGGCAGCTATAGGAGGTCAGAGTTCGCGACCCGTTCAGAGGAAACCGGCACATCTGCGCATGCGCGAACGCACTCGTCGTGAGCTAGTCAGTCAGCGTTCATTTTAGTCAAGTTGAATGAAAATTTACGCCGTTTGCCTGTATGCTTTACTATTATAGGATGCCAAAGTTATGAATTGTATACACATTGGCCAATAACTCTCCCAGCTTATCCAATTGTGAATTCTCTTACGTTAGCTATAGATATCAGTACAGCTTCGCTATGGATCGTGCGCGATGTTGTGAATTTGTAAAAAAAAAAATTATGATGTAAAATGTAATGTACTTTTAATATTTATATTTTGAAAACATAACCCTAGTCAGATCATGAAACAAAGTTTAACCAGAGATGCACACGTTATCTCATTGCATTACATTATTTATTAAAAAAATTATTTGCATTTTCCATTTATGTTGGGGCATAGCTACTCCCTTGAAATCCTTAAGATATTAACAGATTACTTCAGGATGTAAAACCTTCTGGAGACCCTCAGAACTTTGGGATACAACAGTGAATTAGTGCCAAGATGACCAGAAGCATCAGGAATACCAATTATATTTTTCTTAAAAGTGGAAAAAACCAACAACAACAATTATAACAGTGGTGTATCTGTTTCCCAAAATCAAAACAATCTAACAAAATGTAAACATTCAAAACAGAAATATGATCGATATCAAACAAAAAACATCCATTTCTTGGACCTGTTACCCTTCAAACGGTGAAAGATCAGTGGCTTGCTGTGCTTGGAGCTGATGGAGGACTTTAGTGAAAACTGTAGAGAATATAATCATGTTTTACCCATTGTCAAAGTGTCCTGAACAAGGTGCATTAGAGTATTTAATATGTGTGTTATATATCTTTCCCTGATAAGAGCACTAGTTTTTTTTCTCTGTATTCACAGCCGATGTGTTAAATGTCTTATATAGTATGTTAAAACAGTGCTGAGTTAGCCAGCCTAGCACTGTGTCTTTACTACGCATAATTCATTGAGGCCATTAAACATCCTGAACTATTTTAAATACGCCTGCATTATATTACCATTTACAAAATATGTACACTTCCAGTTCAGTCCAGTATGTTTAAAGCATCAGTCAAAATGCTTACTTTTTACAAAATAGTTTAAGATTATTAAAAACATTTTTTGTAACTGTAACAGGCTAACTGAAAAAAAACAACAAACAAATCAAATAACGACGGACGTCTTCGGGAAAGAACTTAATTCTCTAAAAATTGTCGCATATAATGCACAAATTGTTTGTAAAAAAAGAATGCGCATACATGAACTGTTGCAATGCGTCAATCTTTTGTTAAAAAGATGCTCACATTCCATGAATGAATCTTTTGAAAATGTAACATTAATTGATTGTAAAAAATTAAAGTATAGTCACATTCAATGTGTGCATCATTCACAAAATCTTCCTTATGTAAATTGTTGCAGGTAATTCAATTGTTTGTAAAACTATGCTTGGGTAATGTCTAAAATGCTTCTGTTCAATGCATCAATCATTCATAAAACCATTCGTGCGCAAAAACAATGGTTTTACGTACAATTCATACATAAAGGTTGTGCTTCACAATTAAGGCCCAGTAACTTTTTAAGCCTTCATTTCCCAGCTTTCACAGTTGAATAACAAAATCTCCCATAATGCACCACATGACCGTGCCAAAGGTGCGACCGGCATCAGACATTCCTTGCATCATACTTGCTCATGCAAATTCAGACTTGACTGCGAATCACGCTAGCGTCCCATCAGGCAACATGTAATCGATTCAAACTGTCCCCATGACATCATAATGGAGCGTTTTCATAGGGAAACGACACGTCATGCTCAGTTGTACTTCATGACCAGTCAATCGCCTGACAGTTTTGACCCTGAACGCTCTGTGGGCTGCTTTAATGCTAAGGAGTTTTTACAGAGAGGCAGTGTTTGCTAAAAAAAATACATTAAGAACAAACTTATGGATTAATACCTCACATTTAAGTACGATGGATGCAGTCTGATTAAACGGGCCACTTGTTTTACCTTCATTATGATGCTTAAGATAGATTAATGCATAAACTACATCTACCAGCATCCTTTGCTTCAAACTGGGTTTTGATTTCTGCCTGTGTAACACAGTGGAGAGACCCAGACCAACGACATTGATTTATTCGATTTAATCCAACCCAGACCAGTCAAAGGATCATGGCCTCTTGAAACGCTTCAATCCATCTGAAAAAGCAGCACAGATTTAGTTAGAATGGACGATCGGCAGAACAAACTCTATACGAGCGCATGAAGTCTCTTCCTGCTGTACCTCTGAGCAGTGGGGATATCCTCGGCTCTGAAGATGTAGTAGAGTGTGTTTTTATGGTACAGTTTAAACTGCATTTTTTGAGCTGGTCCCGTCTTCTCCTCTCGGAGGAAAAAGCCCAGCAGTGGCTGACTCTCCAATGCCGCAACATCCTGAAAACAACGCAATTATTGACACATGACAGCTTTTATTATGACACACACATCTGCATATTCTCATGACACTGTGAAAAAAGAAAAAGAAAAAGGGGAATGATTGACAATTACAGTTTTAAGTATCGCAAAAATAGCTGTTTGACATCATTTTTTCCAAGAACAAGCAACTTATTACAAAAAATGTGATTTTAGTCATTCAAATGTCATCTCTGCTTGTATACTGTTAAATGTTTCGAAACAGTTATGACGCAACAAAGCCTCATTTACCGAAATCACGTGACGAACCACTGATTCAAAACGGAAGCTGTGTTTTGAAATCACTCATCATTACTCTCATTGTTAAAAATAAACTATAGCATCTGATAGTGGTTATATATATATATATAAAAAAAGTGTTAAAGGGATACTCCATTTTTTTTGGAAATAGGCTCATTTTACAGTTGAGTTTTACCGTTTTCGAATGTAATCAGTCGATTTTCCGTTTTTTAGAAGAATATCAGTAACCAGACAGTTTCTGGTCTCATTGACTTCCATAGTATATTTTTTTCCTAGTATGGAAGTCAATGAGACCATGTCTGGTTACTGATATTCTTCTAAATATATATAAAAAAATCGACTGAATACATTTGGAAACGGTAAAACTCAACTGTTTAACTCTGGGGGAGTGGTAAAATGAGCCTATTCCCCAAAAAAGTGGAGTATCCCTTTAATAAATGTAGCTACTTTTTGTTAGTAGCTTGGTCAACGACAGTTTCGAAGTAGCTTTCCCAACAATTTCCTTATTATGTCTTCAATCTGCGCTTGATAAAGCTTCCTCAACACTGGCTTAAAGTTATTACATAAATAAAGGCAGCGTACTTCACTAGCGGCGTAAGTGTAGAGGACTTTGTTCTCGATGACAAACCACAGCCTCTTCCACGGTTTCTTGTGGCCTTTGGATCTGTGCAGATATCCACTCATGGAGGAGTTCTCAGTGCTCGCACACACCTGTGAGTGAGATATTTTAATATGACATCAGTGATGTGGTAAAAAAAAAAAGCCTTCACTACAGTGACACTGCCATTGCATTAAAGGGATAGTTCACTTTGAAATTAATTTTTGATATGTTTTATCTTACCTCAAGGACATCCAAGATGTAGGTGTCTGTGTTTCCACATTATTTTCAATTTTGATATTTTTAGGTCAAACCGTTCTTGTCTGTCAGTCATATAATGGAGGTCTATGGTCACCACCTCAAAGAGCATGCACAGAGAAGTCCAAATTAAACATGATTTAATGACTCGTAAATGTAAGTACACATTGATGGCCTAAGACACGAAACGAGCGGTTTGTGTGAGAAAACCAACAGTATTTATTTAATTTTTACCTCTTGTAAAAATTGTTTACCTTAAATTATTTAGATATACAGGAAATCGCAATGAAAGACAATTTTGATATGTCAGCAGACAACGTTGATTTTTTTTTGCAACCGCGCGAGAGATCACTTCCAGTGTTTTCCGGCGCTTGCGTAGACTGTGGTTACAAGAGGTAAAAGCGATATAAATACTGTTCGTTTTCTCACACAAACCACTCGTTTCGTGTCTTTGGCCATCAATGTGTACTTACATTTACGAGTCATTAAATCATGTTTAATTTGGACTTCTCTGTGCATGCTCTTTGAGGTGGTGACCATAGACCTCCATTATATGACTGACAGACAAGAACGGTTTGACCGAAAAATATCAAAATTGAAAATTGGAAACAAAGACACCTACATCTTGGATGCCCTTGAAGTAAACTAAAACATATCAAAAATTAATTTCAAAGTGAACGATGTAATGTACAACTTCAGGTCACCTCTTTGAGAGCAGAAGGAATCCTTTTCTGCCTTCTAGAAAAAGCAAATGTCGAACTCCGCCCACCAGGGGAAACGGTTACATTGGATTGGTCCCCTAAGAGACAAAAGCAATAATATGTGGGATTTGGCTGTGCAACCACACAGAGTCAAGCATGAGCAAACAACGCTAAAACCAAGAATGTTTAGTAGAGAAAAGCAGAAATCTCGTACCCTTGTGCTGTAGTTTGATATAGCAGTGGTCGCACACTCGAGCTAGCTGATTCTTCAGGTATTCCAGGTAGAATTTATTGGACGAACATGCCTGACACACCACCTGTTGCCACAACGATATCAGTCAGACCTATTTGTTCACTCTATAACAAAGCTTAGATTTGTTTAGTATTTCGAACCTTTCCGCAGGCACGGCAGTGGTGGCGTCTCCAGGTGAGCGTGAACTCGCACGTGCACATCATACACATGGTCGTTCTCAAATCTGGAATCCAGATAGGAGCTTTAGAGCCCAGCGGTAGACCGTCATCAGAGATTCCCTCCGACTACACACACACACACCCACAGAAAAACCACAAACGCATGAGACAAAGTCTTATTACACAAGTTTAAACACAAAACGTATACGATATAATCTCTATGAGCTCCTTCACAACGTGTCTGAAATCAGCTGCTTTTTATTTGATTTGATTTTGTTCCAGTTGTTTTTGTTAAAGGGGTCATGAACTGGCTTTTTAAATTTTATTATATTGTTGTCTGAGGTCAACATGTGACGTTCGCTTGGTTTTTGCATTCAAAAACATCAAAATGAATAAGTAATAGGCTATTTCGTAGCCTAGTTTTGAGTCTAGCTCAGAAACGCTCGGTTTTTATGGGCGTCTCGCACTGAAGACGTAAGTGTAAGTAAACGCCCACTGCTGTGAGTGGATAACAGTTTTGCATATTATAATGAGTTTCAACTCACCCATCGATGCACTTGTGGGAAAGTTTTGAAAACGTCCAATGTTGTAAAATGGCAACCGGAATGATTCGCCCATACATGTTCGACCCAGAGTCCGTGTGTTGCACAATTCCTGTCAGATCCAATATAGACGGCACAGCACCGTTCTTTACTCTTAATCGGTCTGCAAATCCAGTCTTGACTCAGTGAAATGAAGCGAACAGACGGACGATGTTTTACCTCATCAGCTGGAACGTCATTAAAAATAAAGTTTATCCATGCAGTCGTATTGGAATCCAGAGGAAGCGTATTCAGCGACTCTCTTCTTTGCACAATATTCTGTATTGCTCGGTAGCTCGATCCGGTTTGTCATCACGAGGTAGGCATCTATGTTATTTAGCTATGTGTGTAATGCGTGAATTGGTGGGCGGGGCTAAAATAGCCGTGTTGAAGTAGGCGTTGATCTTCTTCTGCGGGGGTGGTGTTTTATCTTCTTTGACGTCATAGTTCCCCACTTTGAATAACGAGTCGTTTGCTGAGTCTGGTGTCAATATTGGACTAACAAGGACGTTTTCAGTTCTGAAACTTACAGGATATTCTTATCATATGATGACCTCTTAGATTTCTTGATTTCTCAGTTCATCACCCCTTTAAAGGCCAAGTTGCGATTTAATATAATTAGATATACAAACTTTTTTCGTAAAATGATAAAACTTCAGATTCAACCTGGCTGATAATGACTCTGGTGCACTGCTTGTGAATATTTCATACTTTTATGTAATGGAAAGGTTAATATTTTAATTGTGTTATGTATACATTTTTTTTTTTCCCCTGAGAATTATAGGAATTTTGCATTAGACTTGGTATGAATAATTCTGCTGCATCCTTTTAGGCCTTTTCTAACATTTGTTAAAGCATTAAACTGGCACCATACTTAAAATAATAATAAAAATGATCTTACTCAGTTTTTAGTCTTGTTTTTTAGTACAAATATCTAAACATTCTTAAAACAAAATACATTTACTTGAGACTTGTCCTGTTTTTTAAATTAGGATTAAAATGTATACTTTAATTAGGTGACAAGAATCAGTATCTGCAATAGGATTCAAAGGAAAAAAATATTTTATTTTTCTTGCCCCATTGGCAGATACTGTTTTTTGTGTACACACATCATGCCAATGAAGACCCTGTACATTTGATGAAACACACACACACTGTTTGCTATTTGTGTTTTACAAGGACTCTCCATAGACAATGATTTTTTATACTGAACAATATACATTCTATCATAAACTTTATTGTATGATTAATAAGCAGTTTTCCTCATGGAGAACACAAAATTTCAGGTTTTACTATCCTTGTGAGAATATTTGGTTGCCACAAAATAGGGAATACCCGAATCACACACACTTAAGCGCACCCACCTCTTGGCTTCGACTGGAAAAGAAAGAAATCTTCTTTCTGGTGTAGTCATCTATTGCTTTAGCGATGGCTTCAAGCCATTCGTCTCTTTCCGTGGCTGAACTGCAAATGTCAATTATAGTTCGATATTTCAATTGAATTAAAAACAGCTACCAGGATTTTATTTCACTATTATCATGTACAATTACTCACTCCACTACCAATATTTCCTTCATGTAGACCCAGCAGTTAAATCATGAGTGTGTGTGTGTGTTCTTACTTGGCAGAGAGTATGAAGGAGCGTTCCACACTCTCAATGTTTAACTCATTCTGATAGGCCTCCTGACTGGGTTTGCTCACCTATTAAAGACGTGAGACACACATATACGTTACATCTCCTATCAGAGTGTGTGTGTGTAAGCGTATTATGACGGTGGATATCTGACCTTCATGCCGGCCAGAGAGAGCATGCTGTTGACTTTATACTGTCCAGACTGAACGGGTGTTGTGTACAGCAGAATATCATTAAACTGTCGAGAGAGAAACAGAACATTTAAAACAGTGTTACACCATCCACAGTTTCCAGTCATATGCAGCAATTTCCTGTATTGCAAAAGACAGAGGTAATGTAATGTATATTAATATTGGTGTGTGGTCACTGTTGCGTTTTACTACCTCAAATGTACAAATCAGAGTTCATAGATGAAAATATCATTACTAAAATAACAAACTGGAAAGAAATAAAAACTAAAACTGAATAAAAAATAAATGAAACCTAAATAAATAATAAAAAAACAAATGATACTAAAACATTTTTTTTTTAATAGTATTTAGCCTTAACTTGACCATAGTTTCTCACCAGGAAGAACATTCTGGGCTGCATAACTTTCCTGGAGAGTTTCATCAGAGTGCCCTCCTTTAAGAAAACCTGCAACGAGACCAGTACATTACTTTACCGACACTTCTGCTCAGGCACAATGAATCATGGGTATCTTAGAGTATCTTACCCTGCCAGGTTGGACGATTTCATGATGACCATTCAGACTGTATTGAACCTGCATCAGCTTCTGAAAGTTATCCTGAATAAACAAGATGCGCGTTAGACGTCATTCATATTCATGAGCTCATAATGCGTGGCCGTGTGTTTGTTGCGTTACCCCTTGCTTCATGATGTCATTCGCATGGTTTGCCACTTCTTTCACCACACTAAGAGCAGCTGGGTAAATCAAACAAAGTATTTAAGAGATTAAGTTTCATTTTGCACCAAAAATCTCACTTGATCGATTTTTCAATTTACAGATTAATTATAGTGAAGAAATGGACGTAGCTAGCTACATATCTTTTCTTCTGTATTGTCACAGACTTTCGAGTGAAACAGATTATTGAAAAAGAAAGAAGGTCAATAAGAATAACATGCATTTGGAAAAAATAGATATTTATATTTTAAGCATAAGGGATAGACATGCAGTCTTTACAATGGCATATACTGTATAAAATACCTAGATCATGTTATTTTTTACAACTCAGGACTTTTTCAAAACAGTTTTATTGGGTTTTTGTCAACTGACAGTTTTTATTTCGGAAAGACATTTTGATCTGGAAAATGAAAAGGGTCTTTAAAGCTACACTGTGTAACTCTTTTAGTTTATTCTTAGCTAAAAACACTTAGTTCTTTCAAAAATATATGTGCTCATTAATGTATATTTACTTCGTTCAAGTAATAAAGTATTCTCGTGAGTGTATAATATGCCATTGAAAATACATACGGGTCGCCATGTTGCCCCTCCATCTTGAAAGTACATTAGCCAAAAAAATTTTTACCAAGTTATTTTATTTTATTTATTTACAGGTCATTTTCAAAAAGAGCCACCCTTTAGCCCCATCATATGAGTCTCCGTGTCATTTCCAGGGAAAATGGTATGCTCTTACTTTTTGTGTCTTTGTAGTCGGATGAATCCTCAGGAAGATTTTTCAAATAATCTGAAAGAGAGATGCAAAAGAAAATCCTAAATTGGTCAGAGAGATTGGCTGTTTTCCTTAAATGACTTCATTAGCTTAATTTGAAGTTTGTTCACACCTGGTATAGACCATTTCACAAGATGTAAACAACACTGGTCCAGAAGCACTTCCTGTTTCAGTTTTTTAACACTACATAAAAGCTGGGATAAAATACAACCAACAGAACATTTAAAACTGAATCAAAAAGTTAAACAAACATCTTTAAGATGTTTTCTTTACATGTAAAATAAAGAAAACAGTTACAAACTGAAACAGGAAGTGCTTCTGGACCAGTGTTGTTTACATCTTGTGAAATGGTCTATTAAAATGCGTTTTGGTCGTTTGGATCACAAGAAGACGAGGGAGACGCATTCCCGTTTACACCTGATGTTTTAATCTCTTTTGTCCTGATGTCTTCGAGGGGAGGGTCTATGGGCGGGTAAATGTACGGGCTTTTTCAGCCGACAACGCAATGTTTATGCATTAGGTCAGTAGGCAGAGAGTCATTTTCAGCTGTTTGGATGCTTTCGACCACATGAACGTCCACACTATGAAAGCAATCCGGTCAAATGTGTTTTCGAATACCTCTGGAAGTGGTTGAAATTGGACTCAAAGTGTTTTAGACCCTGTTTACATCCGTCGTCCACTTGTGATTGGATTGACCAAAATGCATCTTAAAGGGATAGTTCACTTTGAAATTAATTTTTGATATGTTTTATCTTACCTCAAGGGCATCCAAGATGTAGGTGTCTTTGTTTCCGCAGTAGTTTAAATTTTGATATTTTTAGGACAAACGTTCTTGTCTGTCAGTCATATAATGGAGGTCTATGGTCACCACCTCAAAGAGCATGCACAGAGAAGTCCAAATTAAACATGATTTAATGACTCGTAAATGTAAGTACACATTGATGGCCGGTTTGTGTGAGAAAACGAACAATATTTATAGCGTTTTTACCTCTTGTAAACGCACGGGTGATTCGGTCCTCGCCCTCAGAGTACTTGGACGTGATTGTGATTACAAGAGGTAAAAGCAATATAAATACTATTCATTTTCTCACACAAACCGCTTGTTTCGTGTCTTAGGGCCATCAATGTGTACTTACATTTACGAGTCATTAAATCATGTTTAATTTGGACTTCTCTGTGCATGCTCTTTGAGGTGGTGACCATAGACCTCCAATATATGACTGACAGACACGAACGGTTTGACCTAAAAATATCAAAATTGAAAATACTGTGAAAACAAAGCCCTTGAGGTAAGCTGAAACATACCAAAAATTAATTTCAAAGTGAACTATCCCTTTAATCCCGTGGTGTGCAGGTGTGTGTACCTGTGAGCAGGAGCTGGTATTGAGGTATTCTCTGCACCGGTTTCAGCAGGTAATGCTTCAAAGCAAGACTAGCACAGCGAGGACTCGTCTGAGGATGAAAGAGTGAAAGCGTTACTAAATGTATTCGTAAAAAAACGGCTTTCCCTGTTTGAGAAAAGTACTCTGCATTCACTACATTTAAAATATCAATGAATTGGTTTAATCAGTATAGTAATCATGCTATGTGTTGTAATTTCAGTTTTTCATTTTCAATATTTTTTGATTTACAAGAAAATTTTGTATTTTTTTTATCCTACCTCAAACTGACGAACGACGCTTGCAAAAGGAGGATTCTTGCGACACTGTTCGTCCAGCAGAGCCACGTTACGGTCAAACTCTCGTATGTAGGTGGAATACATCTTCAGATACGGACCCTTCTGAACAAAGATATCAGCCAACCTCTGATGATCAGACCTGCAAGTGTAAGAGATTCCCAGAAACAAAATGTTCAGTATTAAGCATCGAAAGATTAGGTTTTTATTAATATACAAGTTATACTCCATCCAACTAAGAATGCTCTCAATCTTTACCATCCTTAGTTGAACTCTCTCTGATGCTAGCCATGAAACATATATGCTACTCCAACACAAAATTGACATGAAACTCATTTGCAACACATTTAACTTTCATATGGTGTGTGTGTGTGTGTGTTACCAGTGGGCAACTCTCTCCTCCAGCTCTTTCAGCAGGTCTTTATTAAGTTCGTAGAGTTGGGGCAGATAGTACAAGATTTGATTCAACACTTTCTCCTCCACTAACGGCTTCCCGCTCGCACGAGTCGCTTTGGCAACTGCGTCCCGGAAATCCTGACACAGAAATGGAGATGTAAGCTACAGCCAAAATCCCAGGCTACGGCAACAAAGCAAAGAGAGCTAGCCAAGATGAGTAATAGCAAAAGTGTATTCAAACAATGACTTTATTTACTAGCTTTTAAACTTAAATTACATCAAAAACACTGCCAATAATAGTCCATTCAAAATTTTTGAAACATTTTTCATGGTACAGTTAGCTAACATTAACAGTGCCATAAACTAGCACTCAACGACATATTTTCAAACAAACAAACTGAAGCGCATAAACTCACAGCACAGTCCATCTACAGCTGTAACAGGAAGTAGAGAGAACATTTTCTCTCACAAACACACACACACACACGTGTCTTCAGGACAGCTGTTTAGGGTCACGGCCAAACAAGTGGGTTAAAGGGATGGGTGTGATTTCTTTCCGAAAACTCTCTCTGTCCGTTGATCTCTTATTCCTTTACCACAGTCTCTCTGGATAAGCTCTTCCTCTAGTCTTTCCTCCGCCGCCTCTTTCCTGTCACTCTTTCTCTCTTTACATCAGTCTGAATAAGGCAGGGTTCAGGACGCACCACAGTTCTATAACTAGAGGTAAACAGAGGTCGACTCGATTTTTTTTCTTCGAGATGATTCTTTAAACGGAACAAAGTGTGACAAATTTTTATTGTCTACTAAAACTAATGCAAACATTTTTCGGTAATTGAAATAATTCTGAAATAAAATATAAATATAAGATGAAAAACTTTATTAGACGTGTTAACGTGGCAACTAACTGAATTAAAATAAGTTCTAAAATTGTTAACTTGAATTTGAAAATAAACCTACACAATAAAAATGAAAAAAGCAAGCAACAAAAATCACTAAATCAAAATATCAATAAATGTATCTCACAATTCAGACTTTTTTCTCGCAGTTGCGAGTTTGTTTCTGCCAATTGAGTTATCTCGCAATTCGGACTTTTGCTCGCAATTGCGAGTTTGTTTCTGCCAATTGAGTTATCTCGCAATTCGGACTTTTTCTTGCAATTGCGAGTTTGTTTCTGCCAATTGAGTTATCTCGTAATTCGGACTTTTTCTCGCAATTGCGAGTTTGTTTCTGCCAATTGAGTTATCTCGCAATTCGGACTTTTGCTCGCAATTGCGAGTTTGTTTCTGCCAATTGAGTTATCTCGCAATTCGGTCTTTTTCTCGCAATTGCGAGTTTGTTTCTGCCAATTGAGTTATCTCGCAATTCGGACTTTTGCTCGCAATTGCGAGTTTGTTTCTGCCAATTGAGTTATCTCGCAATTCTGACTTTTTTCTCGCAGTTGCGAGTTTGTTTCTGCCAATTGAGTTATCTCGCAATTCGGACTTTTGCTCGCAATTGCGAGTTTGTTTCTGCCAATTGAGTTATCTCGCAATTCGGACTTTTTCTCGCAATTGCGAGTTTGTTTCTGCCAATTGAGTTATCTCGCAATTCAGACTTTTTTCTCGCAATTGCGAGTTTGTTTCTGCCAATTGAGTTATCTCGCAATTCTGACTTTTTCTCGCAATTGCGAGTTTGTTTCTGCCAATTGAGTTATCTCGCAATTCTGACTTTTTCTCGCAATTGCGAGTTTGTTTCTGCCAATTGAGTTATCTCGCAATTCTGACTTTTTCTCGCAATTGCGAGTTTGTTTCTGCCAATTGAGTTATCTCGCAATTCTGACTTTTTCTCGCAATTGCGAGTTTGTTTCTGCCAATTGAGTTATCTCGCAATTCGGACTTTTTCTCGCAATTGCGAGTTTGTTTCTGCCAATTGAGTTATCTCGCAATTCGGACTTTTTCTCGCAATTGCGAGTTTGTTTCTGCCAATTGAGTTATCTCGCAATTCGGACTTTTTCTCGCAATTGCGAGTTTGTTTCTGCCAATTGAGTTATCTCGCAATTCTGACTTTTTCTCGCAATTGTGAGTTTGTTTCTGCCAATTGAGTTATCTCGCAATTCTGACTTTTTCTCGCAATTGCGAGTTTGTTTCTGCCAATTGAGTTATCTCGCAATTCGGACTTTTTCTTGCAATTGCGAGTTTGTTTCTGCCAATTGAGTTATCTCGCAATTCGGACTTTTTCTCGCAATTGCGAGTTTGTTTCTGCCAATTGAGTTATCTCGCAATTCGGACTTTTTCTCGCAATTGCGAGTTTGTTTCTGCCAATTGAGTTATCTCACAATTCGGACTTTTTCTTGCAATTGCGAGTTTGTTTCTGCCAATTGAGTTATCTCGCAATTCTGACTTTTGCTCGCAATTGCGAGTTTGTTTCTGCCAATTGAGTTATCTCGCAATTCGGACTTTTTCTCGCAATTGTAAGTTTGTTTCTGCCAATTGAGTTATCTCGCAATTCGGACTTTTTCTTGCAATTGCGAGTTTGTTTCTGCCAATTGAGTTATCTCGCAATTCGGACTTTTTCTCGCAATTGCGAGTTTGTTTCTGCCAATTGAGTTATCTCGCAATTCGGACTTTTTCTTGCAATTGCGAGTTTGTTTCTGCCAATTGAGTTATCTCGCAATTCGGACTTTTTATTGCAATTGTGAGTTTGTTTCTGCCAATTGAGTTATCTCGCAATTCTGACTTTTTTCTCGCAGTTGCGAGTTTGTTTCTGCCAATTGAGTTATCTCGCAATTCGGACTTTTTCTCGCAATTGCGAGTTTGTTTCTGCCAATTGAGTTATCTCGCAATTCTGACTTTTTCTCGCAATTGCGAGTTTGTTTCTGCCAATTGAGTTATCTCGCAATTCGGACTTTTTCTCGCAATTGCGAGTTTGTTTCTGCCAATTGAGTTATCTCGCAATTCGGACTTTTTCTCGCAATTGCGAGTTTGTTTCTGCCAATTGAGTTATCTCGCAATTCTGACTTTTTCTCGCAATTGCGAGTTTGTTTCTGCCAATTGAGTTATCTCGCAATTCGGACTTTTTTCTCGCAATTGCGAGTTTGTTTCTGCCAATTGAGTTATCTCGCAATTCGGACTTTTGCTCGCAATTGCGAGTTTGTTTCTGCAATTGAGTTATCTCGCAATTCGGACTTTTTCTTGCAATTGCGAGTTTGTTTCTGCCAATTGAGTTATCTCGCAATTCGGACTTTTTCTCGCAATTGCGAGTTTGTTTCTGCCAATTGAGTTATCTCGCAATTCGGACTTTTTCTCGCAATTGTGAGTTTGTTTCTGCCAATTGAGTTATCTCGCAATTCTGACTTTTTCTCGCAATTGCGAGTTTGTTTCTGCCAATTGAGTTATCTCGCAATTCTGACTTTTTCTCGCAATTGTGAGTTTGTTTCTGCCAATTGAGTTATCTCGCAATTCTGACTTTTTCTCGCAATTGCGAGTTTGTTTCTGCCAATTGAGTTATCTCGCAATTCTGACTTTTTTCTCGCAGGTGCAAGTTCATATCTCACAATTGTTTTTTTTTTTTTGCAGTTGCAAGTTTATAGCTTGCGATTCTGTTTTTTTCTCTCGCAATTGCGAGTTTGTTTCTGCCAATTGAGAGTTATCTCGCAATTCTGACTTTTTCTCGCAATCTGTTTATCGCGCAATTGGGAGATAAAAAATCTGAATTGTGAGATTAAAAAAATCAATTA